CTCTCCTGTCGCCCATTTCCAGCCTCTCAGAAACCGAGGATAGGGTCACCATCTCTACCCATCCTGGCTGATAGCCATTAATAGATGTAAACTCCATGAATTTATCTAATTCTCTTTCGAACCCAGTTAAAGTCCTGGTTTTCATAACATTCTTGGGCAAGAAGATCAACAGGTTGACTGTGTGCTACATGAAGAAAAACTTCCTTTTGTTTGTTTCATTTGCTGTCCCTTAGTTCTTATGTTATGGGAGCAAGGAAATAACTTTTCCTTATTCACTTTCTCCAGACCTGCCATGATTTTATAGACTTTATAGATTTTATAGATTTTATTATATCCCCTCTTTCTAAAATGAAAAGTCCTGGTCTTTTTAATTTCTCTTCATATGTCAGTCTAATTCGAATTAAGAGCGTTACTTTCAACTCGGATGTTTTTCATCATTTTGACACGAAGCTCTTTGGTTTTGACTCCGTAAACAATTGGGTTGAGCATGGTGGGGACCAGGACATAGATGTTGGCCAAGAAGATTTGAACGTGAGGAGGAATGATCTCACCAAACCGATTTGTCACAATGGAGAAAAGGAAGGGAGTATAAGAGGTCAGCATCACACCGATGTGGGCAGTGCACGTGTTGAGGGCTTTCTGGTGGGCTTTCTGGGAGGAGATTCTTAGAACAGCCCTGATGATCAGACAGTAGGACAGGGCGATGAGCGTCAGGTCTAACGCAACAAGAGTAAGTGTAATCACCAAGCCATAGAGCCTGAAGAATGCGAGGTCCCCACATAAAATCTTTGCCACAACGATACCCTCACAGATCGTATGAGGGATGATACGTTTGCCGCAGAACGTCAGTTGGCTGAGCATCAGGGGCAAGGGCACCACACAGAGAATCCCTCTTATTAAACTGACCAGTCCTATCGTAGCTATCCGTGTGTGGGTGAGGATGGTAACATATCTCAAAGGGCTACATATGGCCACATAGCGATCAAAGCTCATGGCCACAAGCACAGCTGAGTGCATTGCAAAAGCCGTGCTGAGGAAGGTAATTTGGGTGAGGCAGCCATTGACTGTGATGACTTTCAAATTGAACCAAAATATACCCAGGGCCTTTGGCACAACAGTGGTAGAGATGGTGATGTCTGTGACTGCCAGCATGCAGAGCAGCAGGTACATCGGTTGGTGCAGGGTTTGCTCTGTTATTACCACAAACAGAACGGAGACATTTCCCAACAGACAGAAAATGTAGCAAGTAGCAAAAGGGATGGAAATCCAGACGTGAGCATCTTCCAAGCCAGGGACGCCTGTTAGGATGAATGTTGAGGTGTCAGAGGGGCTGAGGTTGAAAGCTGCCATGAGGTGGTGGATGAGAAAACACGGTTGAGGAATGCCCAGGGCACCTGTGAAAACACACAAGCACAGTGAGCCGGGGTTAGAGACAATAACCAATATCACAGGAAATACCAATAACATAGGTATTACCAGCTTAGAAAAGTGAGTAGTAATGTAGCCACTTTTGCAGAAGGCAAATGATTATTTAGACCAAATTTTTAGATCAACTCTGGGAACCGTGACTTGAGAACCATCTATAAGTAGATACATGACAACAAATTTAAAAATAGACTTTTGGGCCTAGCAGACAGAGATGTACATTTAAAGTAAACCAGAGAGCGTAATTAACGATTAGAACACTAAACCAAGAGTCATCACTGAACATATTTACATCGAGGTTTGGTGTTTCTCTCTCTAAAGATCAGCTCTGAGAATATTACTGTGAAAATTGTTCTACCCATGCTGTCAGAACAGGCGATCACAATGGTCACTTCTGGTCTTGGAATTCTGTCATGGCTCGTCCCCAGCTTTATTGTAGCCCATTGGAAACTCTGACCTCCCTGACTGAGGAGGGTTTTCAGTGTTCACATTTGCTCCCGTTGCTGTAGTAGGGTTGCTCATGGGAAGAGGAATGGTCTGGGTGGAAGATGGTATTAGAGAAAACAGACTACAATGAGGCCCATGGTATTTTACAGTGTGCAGCATTTTTTGTCTTCCTTACACCTCTTTGGTCTGTGCATGAGGCCGGCTGCCCGTTCCCTTGTCACCTGATTACAGGAATCTGTGCCTCTGGATACTGCACGACTGCTCCTACTCCATCCCGCACACCATGCATTCAGGTGGCCGGAAACGACTGGTTTCCCCAAACTGTGAATCAGAAACATGGTTTTCTTTCACTGCTTTTTGTCCTCTTCAGACCACAATTGCAGGGGCACAGAGAGAGCAGACCCCGCTCCCTCCCTGAAAGAAATTGTGATCCTCATTGTTTTCAACCATTGAGCCTGTGAGTTTGAGATTTCAGGGACTCTCCTCTCAGATCTCCTTTGATTCAGATGGGCTCACCCGCCTTTCAAGGGTCACGGGACGCCTGCAGCTCAAATCACAGTAGGTTCCAGGTCAGTTGAAATCAGAACATGTATTCAAGTTCCCACATGTTGGTGTAGAATAATCTGAAGGACTCCTAGATTTCACCCATAGCCCTGGTCCAACAAGCTGAGCATCTGCACTACCCAAGCCTGTTATTTTGGAAAAATTGGACTGGTTATTTCGAATAACTCCTGCATTCCTTGAGGAGTAATATTTATCGCAAAACAGTTATTTCAGGGGTTATTACTTCCAAATCAGTTATTTCAAAATACTTCCCTAGTGTGGACATTCCCTCTGGCTACGTCTACACTGGCATGATTTTCCGGAAAGGCTTTTAACAGAAAAGTGTTAAAAGCACTTTTTGCAGAAAAGCATCTGTGGCCAATCTAGACGCGCTTTTTCACAAAAAAGCCCCAATCGCCATTTACGCGATCGGGTTTTTTTTGCGGAAAACAAATCTCTGCTGTCTACACTGGCCCTTTTGCGCAAAAGTTTTTTGGAAAAAGACTTTTGCCCAAACGGGAGCAGCATAGTATTTCCACAAAAACAATCTTACATGAGATCGTCAGTGCTTTTGCGGAAATTCAAGCGGCCATTGTAGACAGCTGGCAAGTTTTTCCGCAATAGCAGATGATTTTGCGGAAAAACTTGCCAGTCTAGACACAGCCTCGGTGTGTTAGTTTCGGCAACTGGAGAGTGTTGGTTTGCTCGAGTGCTCAGACTCTGATCGAAACGCCCGTGTCTGGGGCATTCTCAGACCAGGTTTGAAAGTTGGGGATTTTAAATCACATGGGCCTCAGTTTTGCTCTCAGGGAAGCCAATGTCAATCCGGAGCACTTCACTGAAGGCAGAATGGGAGAGCAGATTGTGACCAGCATGGGACCATTTATGTTGTGAACCACCTGGTAACAGAGACCCCCACTGCCAGGGATTTTGCTGCTCTCTCTACCTGTGCGGTGAAGTTGAGGAATTGGAAACCCACACTGCACCAAAACAGGAAGCTACTGCGCTGGATAGAAGGGCACAGTAAGGAACAAGGGACTGCTTCTAAGCACAGTTAATGGTCTCAACTTTTCCAATATATTGGAAATTTAACCTGATAAATCCTGGGTATGTCTGAAAAAAAACCCTAAACAGTTCCAGTCACTGTACGGGTGAATTCCTGCCCAGATTTCAACCCTGGAGCCCTTCCTCAGTCCTTACCCTAATGTTTAATGCAGAAACAGGGAACTCACCACAATCCCGCTCAGCAGAGAGAGGAAATCTCCTTCCTGCGATGGTGGGGCAGAGATAAGAGACTCAGCATGTGAATCTCACAGGTCTGACACTCGCTGCACTGAACCGTCCCCTTTATGATTCCTCTGTTCAGCCCCTGCGGGCTCCCAGGTGGGCCGGGATTCACAGGCAATTCCCTGAGCTCTGTGAGTGGTGGGATGAGCAGAAATTAGACCCTGGAGACCTACAGCTTGAGAGCCTCCCCCAGGAGAGAAGCAATTTGACAGTGATAGTGCCGTAGGTCATCAGGTCAAACTGCTTGTTACAAATGTTGAGCCTGGCTTTCTGTTCTGCCATCACTGTCCTGCCTTCAGCACTACGGGTGGGGATGCTGTTGCATGATCCATGACCAATAATCTGTTCAGTTGATTGTAGTAGCTTGTGTCAAGTTGCTCAGTTGTGTCAGGATCTTTGACACCTGAAAAGTCACTGCTGCCCTGTGGAGGCTAAATGACGTAGTCCTGGAGTGATTGAAGCCAAAAGCAAGCAAGAAGATTTCTGCTCCCAGGATTTTGGCATTTCCCAGTGTCCCTTTGTCATGTCCATTCTCGATACATGTCCGGCAGCTCAAACTGCTCCACAGACACGGGTTGTAATTTCTGCATCAGCTCTAGTACCATGGGACTGCTCCACTCCCTGTTCAGTGAAGACTTTTGCAAGGTTGGGAGGGCTCTTGGTCTGGCTGGCGGTAATGTATCTCCACAGTCAATGTGTTTCAGCCAGGCCAGACGTCCCTGTGCCGAGTCCACGGGGTTCTCACTGACAAATAGGCAACTGTTACACTTGGAAGAGTTTCACAGGATCTTTTTCAGGGGAGGACAGGGAAAAGAGATGGGCTGTGTCTAGCCTGGCAAATTTTTCCGCAAAATCATCTGATTTTGTGGAGCTGTCTACACTGGCCGCTTGAATTTCCGTAAAAGCACTGACGATCTCATGTAAAATCATCAGTGCTTTTCCGGAAATACTATGCTGCTCCTGTTTGGGCAAAAGTCTTTTTCCGAAAGACTTTTGCGCAAAAGGGCCAGTGTAGACAGCATAGTACATTCCATGAGGTGTAACAGTTAACTCAAACTAAGGACTTAGTTCGAGTTAACGTTTGACTACCGCGTGTAACCACGGGCATTTAGTTCAGACTGGGGGGATTTAAAAATGGCGCCTGGACGGGAAGATGAAAATAAAGCCTCGGATATTTAAATCCCAGGCTTGATTTGCAACTTCGAATGCCTACATTCGCCTCCCTAGTTCAAACTAGGGAGCTAGTGTACACATACCCAGAGAGAGGGAACTCAGCAATGGAGAAAGCAGTGTTTAGCGGTGGAGTGATAAGATGTTAGCTGTGAGGAGCTGCTGAGACTATGAACTTCCACAATGCTCAGCTAAATCAAAGTGGGACAGACCCATATTGGTTAATGAGGAGGTAACTGCTCCCTTCTTGGGACACAGTTTAAATTCAGAGGCATCAGTGTGAACAACTTCTGCAGAAGATTTTCCTCATTTTGTCACAAAGCTCTTTGGTTTTGACGCCATATATGGCAATCGGGGCTTTTTTCTGGAAAACCGTGTCTAGATTGGCTACGGATGCTTTTCCGCAAAAAGTGTTTTTCAGAAAAGCATCCTGCCAATCTAGACGCGCTTTTCCGAAAATGCTTTTAATGGAAAACTTTTCCGTTAAAAGCATTTCCGGAAAATCATGCCAGTGTAGACGTAGCCACACAGAATGGGAAGTGATTGCCTAGGAAGGAGTACTACTAAACATGATTTAGGGGTCATAGTGGACTACAAGTTAAATATAAGTCAACAGAGACTCAGTTGCAAAAAAAGGTAACATGATTCTGGGATGCATTAACAGGAGTGTTGTGAGCAAAACACAATCAGACATTCTTCCACTCTATTCTCCTCTGATTAGGCCTCCATTGAAGAATTGTGTCCAGTTCTGGGCACCACATTCCAATAAAGATGTGGAGAAATTGGAAACGGTCTAGAGAAAAGCACAAAAAATTATTAAAAATCTAGAAAACATGACCTATGAGGGAAAGAATTGGGCTTGTTTAGTTTAGAAAAGAGAAGACTGAGGGGACGTAATAGTGGTTTTCAAGCATTGAAAAGGGTGTTATAAAGAGGAGGGAGAAAAATTGTTCTCCTTGACCTCTGAGGATAGGGCAAGCAATGGGCTTAAATTGCGGCAAAGGAGGTTCGGATTAGACATTAGGAAAAACTTCCTAACTGTCAGGGTGGTTAAGCACTGAAATAAATGTATTGGGGAGGTTGCGGAATCTTCATCATTGGAAATATTTAAGAGCAGTTTAAGCAGATGTCTATGAGGGATGATATAGGGTACGTCTAGACTACCGCGTTTTGTCGATGGAAGTTTTGTCGACAGATACTGTCGACAAAACTTCCGTCGACAAAGAGCGTCCAGACACATTGAGTTCTGTCGACAAAGCAAGCTGCTTTGTCAACAGAACTCCGTAGTCTGGACGCAGTGTTACAGGCAATAACACCTTCTGTCGACAGAGTTCTGTCGACAGAAAGTGTTATGCCTCGTAAAATGAGGTATACCAGCGTCGACAAAACTGGGTAGTCTAGAACCACCCATAGACTGTGCTTCAACCTGCAGTGAGGGCAGGGGACTGCACTTGATGACCTCTTAATGTCCCTTCTAGGTCTATGATTCTATGATTTCTTCCGTAGCCCTAGAGTAATAACAAGCAGAAATAATAAGTGGAGCGTCTAAACTACCAAGCTTGTTAATTTGAGAATAATGGGATGACTATTTTAGAATAATAACTCCTGCTTTTCTTGAGCGTATGTCTACACTACCACCTGAGTTCAAGCTAGGGTGGTAATGTAGGCAATCGGAGTTGCAAATGTTGCCTGGGATTTGAATTTCCCAGGCTTCATTTGCATATTGCTGGGCGCCGCCATTTTTAAATGTCCGCTAGTGCGGACTCCATGCCCCACGGCTACACGAGGCACAGACTAGGCAGTTCGGATTAGGCTTCCTATTCCAAACTACCATTACTCCTCGTGGAATCCCGGGCTTCATTTGCAACTCCGGTTGCCTACATTACCACCCTAGCTTGAACTCAGGTGGTAGTGTAGACATACCCTCAGTGTGTTCCATCCCGGCTCGCAGTCCCTGTGCTGAGTCCATGGAGTTCATACCAACGAATAGGCTATTGTCATACTTGGAAGAATTTCACCGGATCTTTTTCAGGAGGATAAGCAAAACACCCCGATGAATTGACAAAGGAACATTATTCTGTTCTGTGCATATTCACACACACACACTAGCACTTTGCAGAGGACTTTAATTTTAGTAACTTAGGTTTAATGCCACACTGGACCGTATTGCCTTCTGTTTGTGTATTTCCATTGCCAAATGAGGTGTGAGGTTGGCTGGTCTTTTCGTAGCTCTGGTGTTCACAACTCTGAGGTTTTACTCTATGGGTGAGTGTCTCTCTCTGTAGCATGTGCCCTCTGCTGAGCACATTCTAGGCAGCCAGGAGGTTCCATAGGAGCTATCAAACTGAATTCCCTTCAGTTCTTTGTCCCAACAGCCCACATCACAGGCTGGCCCTGGGTCTGACATCCTATTTCTTTGTGCTCCCTGAGGACAGGGCTAAGGTGTCCCCCCTCTTGATGGTCTCTCGGCACCATGATTTCCCTGACCCCACTGATCGCTGATTATGGTCATACCACATGCAATTTATTCAACAGCAACAGTGAGAAAAATGAGGAACACATAGGAAAGGTTCGAGGAAACACGGGATCCTTCGCTATGGGAATTGGAATATCACCAACAGTGGCCTGTGGGATGTGAGGAAGATTCACGGTTTCTTCCACACACATCCCAGGCCTCCCGTCAGGCCCTGGCAGTGCTGGAAGTGCCTCATAACCTCAGACTCTGGGTGGCAGGACCAGTTTCCTGTGTCCTTCTATCAGATTCACATCCCCCTTCTGAGTCCAGCCCCCAAGGCCTGTTGTCTGGTGATGTCTCCCTGAGCTGGGCCCTCTGCCCAGGGCCCCACCTTGCTCTCCCTGGCTTCTCATTGTGCTTGGCTGCCATGTTAATTCCTGCAGGGCTGGCATCCACTGTCCTGACTCTGGTCCCACAGCTCCCTGCTGTCGTTTGGTCCTGACACCTCATTGGCACAGCCAGCCAGGTCCTGCGCCAGATCTGCCTCAGCCCTGCCACTCTGCTTCCGCAACGGCTCTGCCTTCTGGGCTGCATCTCTGGTCCCTGAGGTTCTGGCTGCTGCTCCTCTGCCTCCCTCCCAACTTGTAAAACTGGCAGATTTCTACTGCACCAACAGCCCACTCCCCATTAAGCCCTAAACCAAAGGAATATAAGAACAGCCAGACTGTGTCAGACCAAAGGTCCATCCAGCCCAGTATCCCATCTGTTGACAGTGGCCAGTGCCAGGTACCCCAGAGGGAGCAAACAAACCAGGGAATCATCAAGTGATTCCTCTCCTGTCACTCATTTCCAGCGTTTGACAAATACAGTATGGGGACACCATCCCTACCTGTCCTGACCAATAGCCATTGGTGAACGTAACCTCCATGGATTTATCTAGTTCTCTTTTGAGCCCATTTAAATTCCTGGTCTTCACACCATCCATGGGCAAGGAGTTCTATAAACTGACTGTGCGCTGCATTAAGAATAACTTCCTTTGGTTTGTTTCATTTGGTATCCCTTAGCTCTCTTCTTATGGGGAATAATTTTTCCTTATTCACTTTCTCCATATCTGCCCGGAATTTATAGATTTTATAGATTTATCATATCCCCCAAAAGTCCTAGTCTTTTTAACTACTCTTCATATGTAACACATTCCAAACCCCTCATCATTTTTTTGTCTTTTTCTGAACCTTTTCCAATGCCAAGATATCTTTTTTGAGATGGGGTGACCACATCTGTATGTAGTGTTCAAGATGTTGGTGTACCATTGATTTATGTAAAAGTGGCGAGGAGCTCTGTGGCACCTTATATACTAACTGAAGTGTTGGAGCATAAGCTTTCGTGGGCAAAGACCCACTTCGTCAGATGCATGTAGTGGATGTAGATGCAGTTCGTCAGATGTAGATGCATCTGACAAAGTGGGTCTTTGCCCACGAAAGCTTATGCTTCAACACTTCGGTTAGTCTATAAGGTGCCACAGGACTCCTCGCCGCTTTTGCAGATTCAGACTAACATGGCTACCCCTCTGATACTTGACATTCAAAGATTAGAAAACCTGCTTTGTAGTGATAGAGTCAATGAGCTCATTTCATTACAATGAAAAAAAGGTAGTTAA